TTGATGGTTTGATATAGAGGAACAAATTATGAGTGTACTAGAAGGGGGCTGTCTTCCAAAAGATAACTCCGGTTTTGGGGGGGTTCCCCCCATATGTTCCCTTGGCTGTATGGAGCAGGTTGCTGTGACTCACAGAAAAACCCTTTTACATGTAAGCTTCTTACATTCTAATCTGTCAAACTCCCTTTCCCAAAATACACATACACAAACTAGTTGGTCACAGGTGATGAGGAGAGTGTCATCATCTCTGCCTGATCCTCCCCCTCCCTTGCTGATCTGAATCTTGAGCACAGTCTTTACAGGGGCATCCTCGCATCTTGTGGGCCTGCCCACGTCACTAGATCCCATCTCCTCAATCAAAGACAACTGGGTCCACTTTCGGAATGAAGAGACTCCCTTTTAGTGAAATCAACTTTTTGTTCAAGGTCTGAGAAGGTAGGTGTCTACTCTCAAATGACCTCCTGTTTTAATCTAAATTCCTTAGGGTCTGGAAGATAGCTAGATTCTTTTGAACATGACATTTCAAGGAACAAAAATCTAATCTGAAGTACCATAAATTGTCCTTGTCAAAAAAAAAAAAGGAAGCAGGATTTATACCACAATATAGCTGTTCAGTGCCGTGTTGTCATCCCCCCTGCTCAAAATAAAGTGGTTTCTTAACTATACCTGTCTGCTATACTCCTGTAGCAGCCAGGAATGCTTGGTCTCATACATGCTGAAAAAAGAAAAAGAAGAGAATAAGAAAAGAAGGAAGGAGAGGAGGGAAAGAAAAAGAAGGGAAGAAAAAATAGAAGAAGGGACATGTGGTGGCTTCAGACACAGCTAGATCCAGGAGTTTACATATCATCCTTGAACTGGATCACTATCTCCATTCCTCTGTCTCTCTCGTCAAGGCCATGAAAGGGCGCCTGTGTGCTCCGAGACCACGTCATCCTTATAGTTTGTGAACCTGGAGAAAAAGTACTTCCCCAAAGGCCTTGGCAAAAGTCCCAGGGAGAAATCCAACTGGCCTGACTCAGGTCATGTGCCCATCTCTGGACCTCCTGCTGTATGTAACTGGGGGCTGGAGAACTCTGATTAGCCAGTTCTGGGCCACTTACCCACCCCTAGGAAGGGAGGTCAGACAGGTGCAGCCCTCCTCCAAAAATAGCCTGAGCAGGATTATACAATGTAAGAGGGCCTGTTTGCCAGGCAAACAAAATAAATAAGTCAAGCCCATACTGTATGTAATGTTGGTTTCATGTTTTGTTCGGAATTGAAACCTTCTTTTGTGTTTCATTGGTGACATTTATTTCTGCATTCCATTCTTTGTTGCTTTCTTTGGTGGTTTTGCTGAATGTCTTTGCACTTTTTACTAGAAGTCCCTTTTTCTTTTTATTCCAACAATACTAAGAACACTTGATAGTTTACAAACAAAGCTTTCAAGCCTCGGTAATCATTCTGCAACCTCCATGAGGGCTAGGAGGAGCAGAGTTATTTCCATTTTCTAGATTAGAAAAACTGAGTCCCTGAAAGTGTTATGAAGCAAATATACCTGATCAGGTGGCTGAGAGAGAATCTAACCTAAGTCCAGAGATTCTGGCTCCCAGTGAACAGTCCATGCCTTCCATAACAACTTGACTGCCTGTGGGCTTTCCTCCTAAAGATCACATTTCCAAACCATGACAGTTTTAACAGCATCTACATGGAAAGGCTGGCGAGTTTTTTTTTTTTTTTGAGTTGGAATCTCACTCGGTCGCCCAGACTGGAGTGCAGTGGC